TTAAAAGGTTAAAAGGCGCGAACAAACAGGACGAAAAAGAGACACGTAGGACACGGACAGGCGCCTTTTAATCGATATGAACCAACTAGCCCCAACCAAAGTTTTATTGCATCCGATTCACCTCTCCTCCACGCTGCCGAAATGCCGAGAGAGACAACAACTAGAATGGAGGTGACTACCGACTAAGTCGCACCTCGCGCCGACAATATTGCTCTAAACAAATTAAAAAAATAACAAATTTAATTTTTTTGACACCCGAGTCCCAGCAAAACTGCTCAAAAAAAGATCTTTTTTTTTTCTTTTTAGGGGCCCTTTAAGACCAAACGGGTAAAGCTGCATTGTCACTTTTCAAAACTGAGCAGGCTTCATTTACAGGAACTGCGCGTGGTGGCTCAGTGTTCTATTGTCGTCGTAGTTGCGGCCCACCAACTTTAAAAGCTTCCTCACAGCACACAACTCCCCCCGCTTATGAGGTACCACTGCATTACCAACGCGTGAAGGCACAAAAAAAAAAAACAACCCCCTCCCCCCCCAAAAAAAAAATAGCTATATTGTCACAAAAAATAAAGCAGCAAAAAAAAAAAAAAAAAAAACAAAAAAAACTGGGCGTTGTAGAATTAGAGCAAAAATCAAAATCTATTATCTATTAAAGGTTTAACAAATTCGTGGTACAGAACCAGATGTCGAAGGAAAGAAAGTCTTATCTTTGCTTGGCCGCTTTATCTTGCAGCGTAGTCCAAAGACAGCAGCAGCATATCCTCGGGGTCTTGAGAAGTCATCAGTCCGAACTCGTCGTTCCGTCATTCGGAGAAATGACATGACATACACACACAAACACGCAACACGCAAAACACACGCCGAACGTGGAAATGAACTTGACTACCCATGCGCCTATGCGTAGTGAGAATATGAAGGCTTTTCGGAGTTTCTGGTGTTCCGTGCAACGAAAAGATTGATCTAATAACGAATTGCATCGGATGCCACCTCGACATGCAAAGCAGAAAGCAAGACGGACCGTCAGCGCATCCGTGAGCGACTCGATGGAGGAAAATTTTACTAAGTGAGGAAGACTTCGCCAAAAATACTGAAATTTTAGGCGTCCAATGCCCGTCAGGTCTGCGCTACAGGCGGTCGCCTTCTGTCCGGAGGCCCTATTTCAGAACGTCCACCTTATCTTCAAGATCCTAGCGATTCTGTCCGTAACAACGGCGGAAGCTGAGCGCTCTTTCTCTTCACTACGGCGGTTGGAAGCATGCCTGGGAGCGTCCAATTCGAATGAGTGACTGCTCGGTCTTGCGCTTTCGAATGTTCACCGAGACATTGAAGTTCAAGTGGAGAACGTCCTGGATATTTTTTACCGTGAACGCAGGCGGTTGCATCTTAATGTGTAGGCGCTTGGCATAAATGAGATGATAAAGGGAGGCTGTAAATTGCTTTCTGAAATAACTAGTCACAGTTATCTTTTTATTCGCAGTAATTTCTAGTCGAAAGCACGTAATTCTGATCAGCAGCCGTTGCTTACAGTGCAATTGTTTTTACGATTCATTTAATATTACTTAAATCACTGAGATTGTTTTATATTATCAACATGTGTTCGACTTATTATGGTTTGATTAAACTGTGTAATTCAGTAAAAATAGTTTGTTATACTTTGCCTTGAAATTCCGTCCTTCACCCCACAAATGTTTTGAAATATCCCTTTTTTACATATCTGAGATCAAGTTCCGCATCCCATCCAAAAAACTTGAATGAAGCAATATTACATATTTTATAATTCTGAGCATTTTCCGTTCTACAAACATTTTTCCCGAAAGCATATAAGTTGGAGACAGACCGCGCTTCCCCGTTGATCCGCGCCTCGTGCAAAACCGACTGCGTGAGCAGGAGAGCGAGCGGGCCCCGGCGCTCTGCTTTCTTCTGTTCTTTTTTTATTTTTGGGCACAAGTTCGCTCCATTAAACGTTTAGTTTCTTCAGTTATTATCGCCTCATCACTTGTCATTCGTGACGGTCGAAGGCAAGGACCTTCCTGCGTCATTATGCCAAAGGGCGTCACTCTGTGAACATTTGGAACTGCGCAACACGAGTTTGCTTGACCACATGCACGAGCATTATGGCGATCTCAACATACAGTGCAACCAAAGCGAGAGCGAACACCAATTTTTTGTCAAACAGGCTAAATCTAAAACAGAGACCCCCGCAATGATTTAAAAGGCTGACATAAAAAAAAATGAAAGCCGTTTACAACTCCCTGTAACGCTGAATTAGAGCGCAGCTCTTGAGGAGGAGGAGCCAAGGCCACGAAGGTCACGTGACCCCTCTTTGAGGTCACGTGACCTTGGTTTAGCGGAAACATTTCCCCGCTAAATCGCTAATTTCCGCTAAATTTAGCGGGGAAATTTTTCCGCTAGATTTAGCAGGGAAATTTTTGCGCCAGACTTAGCGGGGAAAGTTTTCCGCTAGATTTAGCGGGGAAATTTTTCCGCCAGATTTAGCGGGGAAATTTTTCCGCTCGATTTATCGGGGAAATTTTTCCGCCAGATTTAGCGGTAAAATTTTTTTCGCTAGATTTAGCGAGGAAAATTTTCCGCTAGATTTAGCGGGGAAATTTTTTCCGCTTGATTTAGTGGGGAAATTTTTCCGCTGAATTTAGCGGGGAAATTTTTCCACCAGATTTAGCGGGGAAATTTTCCCGCTAGATTTAGCGGGAAAATGTTTCCGCTAGATGTAGCGGGGAAATTTTTTCCGCTAGATTTAGCGGGGAAATTTCCCCATAATGCACCACGCGGTTACGCCGACGGCGACGGCGACGCCGACGCCGCTCAAGCCGGAAAAGGGCGCCTAAGAGCTGCGCTCTAAAACAGTGAGGTGTGCGAGCTGTTTTAGAGCGCAGCTCTTAGGGGCCCGTTTCCGGCTTGAGCGGCGTCGCCGTCGCCGTCGGCGTCGCCGTCGGCGTAACCGCGCGGTGCATCATGGGAAATGTCCCATAATGCACCGCGCGAGCCCCCCACCGGGGTCACGTGACCCCCCGAGGTCACGTGACCCTTGCCGATGTCGCGTGACCCCCCGATGACGTCATCGTCACTGATGACGTCATCGGCATCAACATCGTCATCGTCATCATCACTGATGACGTCATCGGCATCCACATCGTCATCGTCATCATCACTGATGACGTCACCGGCATCCACATCGTCATCGTCATCATCACTGATGACGTCACCGGCATCCACATCGTCATCGTCATCATCACTGATGACGTCACCGGCATCCATATCGTCATCGTCATCATCACTGATGACGTCACCGGCATCCACATCGTCATCGTCATCATCACTGATGACGTCACCGGCATCCACATCGTCATCATCACTGATGACGTCACCGGCATCCACATCGTCATCATCACTGATGACGTCACCGGCATCCGCATCGTCATCGTCATCATCACTGATGACGTTACCGACATCCGCATCGTCATCGTCATAATCACTGATGACGTCATCAGCGACGTCACTGATGACGTCCCCGACATTGGCATCGTCATCGTCATCATCACTGGTGAAGTCATCAGTGACGTCACTAATGACGTCATCGGTACCCGCATCGTCATCGTCACTGATGACGTCAAAAGTGACGTCAGTGATGACATCATCGGCATTGGGGGTCACGGGGCCCCCAAGGTCACGTGACCCCCCCCCTGGTTAGTTTAACAGCCCCCCCCCCTCCCAGTGCCCTTCCCTCCTCCTCCTCAAGAGCTGCGCTCTAATTCGGCGTTACAGGGAGTTGTAAGCGGCTTTCATTTTTAGTGGCACTCTTGCTTCAAGAATGGCAGAACGTCACTGAGGTCAGATAAGGTTGCCCTATCGCTCTTGGGATTCCAGCGACGTTCTGCCGTTCCTGAAGCGCGAGTTGAAAATTCACTGCTTTATCAAACAAGCCTGCTGAATTATTTCAAAGGTCTCTGTTTTATATTTGCCGTGTTTGACGCAGAACTGGGGTGCTATGTTGCGCTTTTTGCAGTCCCAGGAGACTTGGAAGAAGGAAGTGACGTCAATGACTAGAGCAAACGCATATTGGATGTTGACAGAAGGAAACAAAATCAACATCCAATCTGCATTTGCTGCGTTGTTGACGTCACTTCCTTCTCCCTAGTCTCCTGGGAGTGAAAAAAGCGCAACATAGCCCCCCAGATGTTCGCTTTCGCTCTGGTGTTCGCAGTCTATGGTGAAATTGCCCTTGTGCTCGTGCACGTGGTCACAAAAACTCGTGGAGCGCAGCTCCAAATGTTCACAGAGCGACGGTCTTTGGTATCACGAGACACGAAGGTCCCTTCCTCCGAATGCTGCGCGCGCATCACTGTGTTGCCCCTGTTTGTTTACACTACAAAATCAGTCTCGAAAAGTTTTGATCACACCTCGTACTTGTTGACATGAAGACGTATGGCATAGACGTTTCCTAACATAATATTTGTTCCGGTGCAAACCAGTACCGATAAATATAGCGATCGACTGTGACCACTCTAAGGGCTCATTCACACTGGAAGCGGATCCGCGTTCGCAAAGCGGTTGCGAACGCGGTTGTATAAGGATTCAGTACAATTGCACGCGCACACGATGACATCAAATGCGCGTGCAATTGCACTGGATCTTTATAAAACCGCTTTCGCAACCGCTTCGCGAACGCGGATCCGCTTCCAGTGTGAAGGGGGGGTAATACACGCCATTTGTACAGGAAGCCCCCTTTAACTTTACGAGATGGGAGGCAAAAAATGTCAGGCCGCCAGCTTCAAAGATGGCGGTATGCATTTGGGTGAATCTTGTGGTGCATTGTAATAAAGGGGAAAAATGACCCTCCCACGTGTTACATAGCTCATTAGTATGTAACATCATAGGGCTCAGAGTGGACCACAGACATATCGCTGCCTTCGCAGCTGGTTGACCTCGATACACGTAACGGTTCTTGAGATATGGTAAGAGAAATGAATGTGGTGGCGACTTACCTTCCTCGTTCACACAGACTAAGAAGCTTTGTGGGCAGTACATCCAGAAAGTCTTGATGGTGTGGGCCACGGTGGCCGAGTTGTCTTCCCACAGATCGTACATGATTGCCTTCACGTCGTAATCGTCTATTGTCCGGACAGTGTACCCGAGTTTGAAGTGCACTTTTTCCAAGAAGTTATCTTCCTTTCCTTTGGGTGGAACAAACGAGTCATACGCGACTGCTGTTTTGCTTTTAGCAGCTAGGTCTGCCATTTGTTCGATGGTGGTTCTGAAGTTCTCAAACCTCAGCTCGTCCGATTCAATTGAGTTCTGGCGTAGTTCGTCTTTGGTCGAGGGAGATAGTGTACTAAGGAAATCGGGTGCTTGATTTTCTGATTTGACTTCTGTACTCGACGGAGTCATTCTCGATGCATGTTTAGACGTATCGCCCGTTGCGCTTTGCCTGGCGGGAATTTCGCAGAATTGACTGTTACTCGCTGCGACAAATTCGTTGACTTCTGCCAGGTCGGGAGAATCTTTCCGACCTTGCGTTGCGAGCCTTGCGCTGCGCTGCGAACCTTCAATTTTTTCAAATGGCAGGCACATCGGGTTTTCCTCTTTTAGGCTAGAATATTGTGAACCTTGTGGGCATCTTCTGAAATTGACAGGGTCAAATTCCAGCTGACTTTGTTCATTTGTTTCTGCGATTGGTGTTTCACCCAAGTCAATCGGAAGATCATATTTATTTAACGTACAGCCACTACCGTCCGTGTCGCATCGCGGAGGTTCTGTGTCTTTAGCCGGCTCGCTTGAAATCCCGAATACCTGAACTTCCGACTCCGTGACGAAGAAGCTTTCGTGGGCCCCCGTTCTACTTTCTTCTGGCAGAACGCTTCCTTGCTGTTTCACTAGGATTAGCTGGTTTCGTTTGTCACATGACCACCTTTCTACTCGTTTAATCGAAAGTAATGTGCCCCGCTCCTCAGCGTCCAAAGCGTCTGACGTGCCACCAGCTGTGTTGTCTCCGCTTTTGTCAAACCTTTCCCATTCTGATCCTTCGCGTCGCTCTTCAGGTGAGACTTCAGCGTCACTTAAAACCATCTTAGAACTCATTTCATGACTTGCAGCGTCCGATTTGATTGGCAGTTGTTCAGACTTTTCCTCTACTGCGATCGTTGTTGTAAACCGTGCTGGAGTCTTGGGTTCTTTTACTTGTTGCCCGTATGTAACATACACGTCTTCAGTCCCTTTCGTCAGCGTTTGCTTTTCGGGTAAGTAAGTGACGTCTTCGCGGTTAACGCTTTTGTTTATAAGGACTATTGCATCTCTATCGGAGAACGTATTCGAAGTATCGAGTTCTACTCTGCTTGACCTTTCGGGTCTGAGCTTGGCCTCGATCATGTCCTGTTCGCCTTTCCTCAGGGAATAACGTTCGAAAACGTCGGAGGACTCGGTAGCCTTTGTGGTTTCAATTTTTACACCATCTGTTGGAGCGACGTTAGACAGTGTTCGAAGTTCCGCTGGACATGTGTGGACCTCTGCAGGAAGGATGTCTTGTATAACATGATGCAATCTTGAGGAATCCTCAGCTTTTAACTCCTCCGGCTTCACACTTGTTGCTTCAACATCATTGACTTTTGGTGATACCTTCTGAATTCTTTCGAGTGTTGCTGTATCCATAGAACTATCGGTGACCGGCGTCGGTTCACTCTCTGTAGTTCCATAACGGTATATTGCACTAATGGAAGCCGTCGAGAGACCAACCAGAGATTTGCGATTTGTTATTGTCTCTCTTTCAGCGAATAGTGATGTTCCGACGCCGGCAGGTTCCCAACTTTCGGTTTCTTCAGCTTGGCCACCAAATTGTGTACTAGGCAATTCACTAGATTCAGAACGGCGCGTATCACTTTCGCCAGTTATGCTACCACCGTGCATCTTAGCATTCAAAGTCTTCTGAATATTGAGATAACCCTTCCCGCTTGCATCGTCACCTTCGGGAGTGGTACCTTGCGGTTCATGCTGTACAGGGCTTTCAATAACGCCTCGGTTGATTCTTGGGTTGGTACAAGCGCCTGCCAGTAGAATTTCACGTTTCGTATTGACCAAACTGATATTATCTTGGGGTGGAAGCACATCCGTGCTATCCGGAATCTTGTCTGAGCGACCGCAGGGTGACTCCGTCATGGCTGCGCTTACTGGCGCTTTCTCCTCACTTGGTTCTAGTAATTCTATAGCAGAATCGCAACTGCTTACTGGTTTATCTTCAAGCCTCTCTTGCGCTACTATTCCCATCCAGGCTTCTTCAATCTTTGAAAGGAAAGTGTCGTCGGCTGCTGTTGGAGGTGCTGCAGAAGAAGACGCATTGGCGTTTAAGAAGCGACTCCTGGATACTTTCTTTTTGGGGCTCTGTAGTCGATAGTCATAAGGTATCAGAAATGGTTGCACTGGTTCCGCAGATTCAACGTGCTTTGTTCGTTCGTTTGGTTCGGCTTCTTTTGTAAGATGTCGAAGGCCTTGTTCCCCAAAAGCAAGCCCCAAAGGCAATCCACTAGATTCGGAATGAGTTGCATCGCTTTTACCAGCTGTACTACCGCCATACATCTCGTTTTCCGAAATCTTTGGAATATCCAGAAATTTGTTCCCGCTTGAATCATCACTTTCGGAAGGGGTACCTGGTAGATCATTCTGGAATGGGCCGTCAATAATGCCGCAGTTGATAATAAAGTCGGTATAAGCGCGTACCAGTGGGATTTCACGTTGCGTCTCGACCAAACTGGCATTATCCTGGGGTGGAAGCCCATCCGTGCTATCGCGAATCTTGTTTTTGGTCCCAGGAGACAGTTTACTAAGACAATTAGATGTTTGATTTTCTGATTTGACCTCTGTACTAGACGGAGTCATTCTCGATGTAGGTTTGGACCTATCGCCCGTTGCGCTTTGCCTGGTGGAAATTTCGTAGAATCGACTGTTACTCGCTGAGACAAATTCGTCGACTTCTGCCATATCGTGAGAATCCTTCCGATCTTGCGCTGCGAGCCTTGTGCTACGCTGCGAACCTTCAATTATTTCGTATGGCAGGCACATAGGGTTGCTCTCTTTCAGGCTAGAATATTGTGAACCTTGTGCGTATTTTCTAAAATTGAGAGCGTCAAATTCCAGCTGACTTTGTTGACTTGTTTCTGTGAGTGGTTTGTCGCCCAAGTCAGCCGAAAGATCATATTTATTTAACGTACAGCTACTACCGTCCGTGTTGTATCGCGGACGTTCTGTGTCTTTAGCCTGGTCGCTTGAAGCCCCGAATTCTTGAACTTCCGACGTGGTGACGAAGAAGCTTTCGTGGACCCCCGTTCTACTTTCTTCTGGCGGGAAGTTTCCTTGCTGTTTCACCAGGATTCGCTCGCTTCGTTTGTCACATGACCGCCTTTCTACTCGTTTAATGGCGAGTAATGTGCCCCGCTCTTCGACGTCCAAAACGTCCCACGTGCCACCAGCTGTGTTGTTTCTGCTTCTGTGAAACCTTTCCCATTCTGGTCCTTCTCGTCGCTTTTCAGATGAGTCTTCAGCGTCACTTGAAACCATCTTAGAACTGATTTCATGCCTTGCAGCGTCCGATTTGATTGGCAGTTGTTCAGACTTTTCCTCCGCTTCGATCGTCATTGCAACCCGCGCTGGAGCCTTGGGTTCTTTTACTTGTCGCCCGTACACGTCATCAGTCTCTTTCGTCAGTGTTTGCTCTTCGGGTAAGTAAGTGACGTCTTCGCGGTCAACGCTTTCGTTTATAGGGACTAATGCATCTCTATCGGAGAGCGTATTCAAAGTATCGAGTTCTACTCTTCTTGAATTTTCGGGTCTGAGCTTGGCCTCGATCATTTCCTGTTCACCCTTTCTCGGGGAATGACCTTCGAAAAGGTCGAAGGACTCGGTAGCCTCCGTGGTTTCAATTTTTACACCTTCTGTTGGAGCGGCGTCAGACACTGTTCCAAGTTCCGCTGGACATGTGTGGAGCTCTGCAGGAAGGATGTCGTCTTGTATATTATGACGTAATCTTGAGGAATCCTCAGCTTTTAGCTCCTCCAGCTTCACTCTTGCTGCTTCAACCTCATTGACGTTTGGTGATACCTTCTGAATTCTTTCGAGTGTTGCTGTATCCATAGAACTCACGGTGACCGGCGTCGGTTCGCTCCCTGCAGCTCCTGTTGCCCCATAACGGTATATTGGACTAATGGAAGCCGTCGAGGGACCAACCAGAGATTTGTGATCTGTTAATGTCTCTCTTTCAGCGAATAGTGATGTTCCAACACCGGCAGGTTCCGAACTTTCGGTTTCTTCAATTTGGCCACCAAATTGTGTACCAGGCAATCCACTAGATTCAGAACGGTGCGCATCACGTTCGCCAGTGATGCTACCACCGTGCATCTTATCATTCAAAGTATTCTGAATATTGAGATAACCTTTCCAACTTGCATCGTCACCTTCGGGAGTGGTACCTTGCGGTTCATGCTGGAATGGGCTTTCAATAACGCCTCGGTTGATTCTTGAATCGGTACAAGCGCCTGCCAGTAGAATTTCACGTTTCGTATCGACCAAACTGGTATTATCTTGGGGTGGAAGCACATCCGCGCTATACGGAATTTTGTCTGAGCGAATGCGGGGTGACAGCGTCATGGCTGCGCTTAACGGCGCTTCTTCTTCACTTGATCCTATTAATTTTATAGCAGAATCGCAACTGCTTACTGGTCCATCTTCAAGCCTCTCTTGTGCTACTATTCCCGCCCAGGCTTCTTCAGTCTTTGAAAGCAAAGTGTCATCGGCTGACGCATTGGCGTTTAAGAAGGGACTCCTGGATACTTTCTTTTTGGGGCTCTGAAGTCGATAGTCATAAGGTATCAGAGATGGTTGCACTGGTTCCACAGATTCAACGTGCTTTGTTGGTTCTTCTGGTTCGGCTTCTTTTGTAAGATGTCGAAGGCCTTGTTCCCCAAAAGCAAGCCCCAAAGGCAATCCACTAGATTCGGAATGAGGTGCATCGCTTTTACCAGCTGTACTACCGCCATACATTTCGTTTTCCGAAATCTTTTCAATATCCAGATATTTGTTCTTGCGTGAATCATCACTTTCGGGAGGAGTACCTGGTAGATCATGCTGGAATGGGCCGTCAATAAGGCCGCGGTTGATAATAATGTCAGTGTAAGCGCCTGCCAGTGGGATTTCACGTTGCGTCTCGACCAAACTGGCATTATCCTGGGGTGGAAGCACATCCGTGCTATCGCGAA